ACATTTCCCCATTTTACCCCTTTAAACATGATGCTAGTACAGAAAAAAAAAAACTGTTGATGTGTCAAAAATATATTGTGCTCCTACTTTCCCTTTTGACATGACAACACAGCTGTGACTTCCTTAGCACATGGTGTCAGCCCTGCCTACTTCATTTCTGATGGATTAAAAAGAAACACAGACCTCTCCTTCTCTCCTCACCTCCTCATCTCCATAACCCCTCCTTGTGCACATGCAGAGAGCACAGGACGCTATCAGCTCACAGGATGTCTTGTATCATTAACAGGTATTGTTTGCACTTATTAAACAGATATAACAAAACACTTTTAATGGTACCAAAAGGCCAAAAGGGGGCAAACAAGAGAAGTTCATTGTAATAGTTTACATACACTTTAAATCAAGTACTAGTCAACAGCAATATGATGGCCCCGCTATGAATTTTAATAGCATGAAGGGTTAAGATATGGGTTATAAAGATATATTGATATATTATAGAAATGAGAGTTTAATGTAATTTATTATCATACAGTAGTGTCCATAGGTCCGTTTTATGCATTCTCCAATACAGTTTCATCTTGAGTAGCGGACTATAAACTGCATCTAGTTGTATGAATTTACATTAATAATTGTAGATATCTTTTTTTGGGCCAAAATATAACTCCTTATAAAAGCCATATAAGGAATTCTAAAAAGCCCTATCCTAATAGTAGGACTATCTAAACCAATCTGCGGTCTCCAACAAACATGCAACAGACAAGATATCAGTTATTCACTAATCTACCGTGAATATTAAATTCATGCTGTACCATTGTCATACCAAGATGTCAAACAAGCCCTTTCCAATCATCTAACAATGAGTATGAGCTGTCCAGCAGTCATATAAAGATGGCAAACATGCTCTTGCCAATCGTCATTTAAGGATGTCAAACGTGCCCTGTCCAGCTGTCACACAGAGATGTCAAACACGAGTCATCCATTAGTCATGCTAGGATGGATAATGTGTGCTGTCCAACTGTCATATAGTGATGGAAATTGTGTGATGCCCAACCGTCTTACAAAGATGTAAGATATGACCTGTCCAATGATTGTCTTATGTGTTAATTGTGTACAAAATTGTGTGTGTGTCTTGTCTTAGCCACACAAGGGGGACTTGTGATTATTCATATGTAAGCAGTCCCATATCTATAAGGGGCATTGCATTATTGTGTTTTGCTGTCATTCATTTTCACAATAATATAATTCAAATATTGACCAAAATGATGTGGGGGGTAAAGTGTTGTGTGGTTAGTCCTGCCGGCACTGATACTTCAGTTTTTGGTGGACAATAATTAAAAGATTTACTGGCCTCTAAAGATGGTCACATGTGTTACAATCAGTTTGTAGAAATCTCTGTACAATTTGCTTTAGGTTTAATTAAAACAATACAATGTAATGCAAGGGGTTACCTTCACAATCAATTACCATCTACTCAGGTAGGTGCTCACACTACACAGTTGTTAGTAAATCTGAATGAATTTGCACAACAGAATTGTAATGTGTGAAGCCTGCTTTGGAAATCTTGTAGCCCAACTCTGAGCTCAATCTCCGGCTTCCCAATCCTTTCCCCCCAAAGACCCCTACTTTTTTTTTTATACAGGCAAATAACGTGCTTGGTCTTCTTCCTCTTCACCTATCCTTTGGCCAAGGGCAGTTCTCAGCTGATGCAGAGAATGGGGCTGAGGTTATGACGTCAGTGGCAGTTCAATATTCTATGAAAGAAGGGAGCAGTGGTGATGACCCCCCTAGTGGGGCAGAGACATGGCGCACATTAATTTATTGTATATTCGCAGTCTTCTGGAATAAATAATGCTAGATGTCATTTAACCTTGAAGACTGAGGACATCTTTTGGGGAATAAGAAGCACTGTGGAATAAGAAGCACTATGTGCTGCTAGGAAGGAGTGGAATAAATTGAACCTGGGGTTTTGCTCTGCATGGCTAAAGCAAAGGTTCACTTTAAGACTCTCATAGTAGGGTAGCCTGCAAGAATAGAAATATGGGAGATACCTTCCCATGTTTTTACATGTGGGATATGACCATGTTGCTTTGACTAATGAGCTAATGAGTCACTGGCTACATACTTGTTGAGGGTAAATGGGGTTAATTTACTAAAGGCAAATAGGCTGTTAACTTTGAAGGGTGGTTTGCACTTTGCAGGAGAATATTCCTTTAGCTTAGTGAATGTGGTGAGATTTCACTTTGCAAAGAATACCCAATCATGTGCAAGGAAAAAAAAACAAAACTGTATTTTATGCTTGCACATGATTGGATGATGGAAGTCAGCAGAGCTTCACCTCGTTCACTAAGCTTAGAGGAAACGTTCCCTGCAAAGTACAATTCCCTTGCAAAGCGAACTGCCTATCTGCCTTTAGTAAATCAACCACAATAGGTCAGTGCTCACCTTTCCAACCCTCCAGCTGGTGGGTCAGCATTCTCATGTCTTATGCAAGTCAATGGAACTGCATAAGACATGATGATGTCAGCGGTCCTTAGACTGCCAGAACAAAGAGGAGAAGAGGCTGCAGAGACCAGTGTAGCAGCCTGGAGGAAGCTGGCAGTACAGGGGGTCAGGTAAGTAAAATAACTTTAATAGTGTCCTCTAGGCAAAATGAGCACTTAACCCTTGAATGGTAAGGGATACGTTTTTTGTTTGCCTAGAGTTCTTCTTTAAGGAACCAGTGGTGGAGCTCCTTGTTCATCTCCCCACAAGCCGTTAGACCTCCTGGTATCAGACCAGTCACTGGTGGGCGGAGCTGGGAACTCGGTGGCAGAAATTTCTCCCCACCTAAAACCACTAGATAAGTCAACGTGCCCAAACTATCAATTATATCAGTAATGTGCATATTTATCCCCCATGTACCAGAAACCCAAACTACCAGACAGCAGCTTCTAACTGGTTATCCTGCTAAAGCTGGCCATACACCTTACAATTATCTGCAGATTTTCTGTGGTCAGATGGAAAAAGTGCAACAGATTGGCCCAGGTGGAGATTACTCCATCCACACAGTTAAGTGTAGATGGAGGAATATGTTGCACCTTTTCCATCTGACCACAGAAAATCTGCAGATAATTGTAAGGTGTATGGCCAGCTTAAGAAGAATACTAGCTAATCCCAAAGTCTTCACTGCTAGCCTTCACTTCCCAACAAATTAGTCAGCAATTTGCTGCCTACTGTGCAAGTCATTGGAAGGGTTACAGAGAGTGCTCCGGGCAATGGATTCACATTTAATTAATTCTGCAGCCATACATCGTCCTCATGGAAAGACATTCACTAGTGCGCTCTGAAACCCAAGGCTTCTGTGTACAGTTTATTTTTATTTCATGCATGATGTGTGTGTGGTTTTTTTTAACCAATATTATTGGAGATCAATACCCCCACGCTGGGGCTGGATTCATGTCTATTTAATGATCTGATGATCATTATTTGCAAAGCACCCTTTTCCTGAATAGCATGGTGCCGTATGAAACTTCAATTTACCAGGAGACGGGAGAAGAATATTAATGACTTTGGGACAGTCTGAATGGGAAGCATAATCCTTACCAGTGCCAAAGGATACCTGTGCTATAGAATGTGATATAAAATGGAAATTATTTATTTCCTTTTCGAGGTGTATAAAGCTAACATCGTAGCATTGTGCTGAATCAACTTTTACACTGCTGTAATCGCATTTTTTTTTTACATTTAGTCCGCAAGGACACTTTGACAGGAAGGTCAAAATGAATATCACCCCACATCTTCACTTTCTATGATCTAAAGGACAATGTCGCTGGCCATCTACCAAACACGATGAGCGATTTCTACACATCTGTCAAAACTAATATGCTAATAGATCTGTAAAGTTTAAATAAAATGCATAAAGAGATATTGATAAATAGCTATTCAATGGTGTGTTATTCATATTAACATATTGTTGGGAGAGATTTAGGAAAAGGCTGTTCCCCATAGCAACCGATAAGACAGACGGACCTTAGAGCTTTCATTCTTTGATCAAGGGCTAAAATAAATGATAGACAAAGCATGCTGACTAGAGCCAGTACCTGCAGATCTCTCTCTCCTTGGTTTTAGAAACTGCTGAGCCTCTTGCAAATCCCCTTTAAATCCCAAAACTGCATCCCTACCAAACACATTGATCTAGGCCCTAAAAATCAGGAGGATTTTAACAAAAAGCTGCCAACTTAAGCAAATGATAGGCTTAATAAAAAATGAATTTGGATTAGCTACCATTAACAACAGCCGTGGCACAACCTTGTCTACCTTATTCATTACGGCAAAGAGCAAACAAACCCACACTAACAAGCAGCAATTCTGTAACTGATCCCATTTTGGTACCCTGGATCTGGTCTGCGTTGCTATAGGTTACCGCATCCGGCACTTGCTCTTTATTAATAGGTCACCCATGGACCATCTAGTGCTCGCCCTGATGCATTAGTGCTACAGAACCCCTTGAGGTGAGGACACATTAGTTAAATTTTACTGGAAGGCTGTGGGAACGGATGCAAAGCCACATGCCGCTGGTAATGCATCCAAGTATCTTAGCATAGATCATAGCGAATACTATAGCCACGTGTCTTATTTTTGGATTAGATGGTGCTGGTATACTTTTGTATTAGAGAGCGCTAACATATGATAGTGCACGTGAATATAAGAAATTACAAATACGTGCCCAGCCCGTCCCAAAGTGCATTGCGCGCATTCATTGCCCATCTGTACACAGGGGCTCATTAGGTATACGGTAAGCCTATTTATAAAGCAGTGTATTGTAGCTGTACTGTCTCCCTTCATATTGTACAGTGCCATGCAAACTGTTGGTGCTATATAAATCCTATATAATGATGTGACATCCTCCGGTCAAGAAAGTGATTGATTCATCGCCTGTAAATGTTTGGTAAATGTCACATTCACTGCTTTTACAAACCTACCCCATAACGTCTCGACAGCAAAAGTTAGGAAACAGAACTTACCTGGGATAGCTAAACTGGAGAGAGGGACTTTGTGGATCCTTTGTGGCAGATTTGCCATCCAGTCTGCAAACTGCATATCGCTCTTCCCTTGAGATGCAGCCATTGTGCTTGCCTGCTGCCTCCTCTGCCTGCCTGGCTCTCTTCTGCTTGCAGTGCGGGCTCCAGTGCTGGTGGAGAGAGTACATGAATGTACACCACACCCACAGGATGGCGCAGACACATGCTAATTCCCCATCATTAGTCAGGAGCTTTTATTCCCTCAATGGAGCCGGCTGCTCTGTAGCTTGGAAGGAGACGCTCTGCCTTTGCAAGCTCCTCTAGTATACAGCATGCCAGGAATACAGCGCTGATCATTGCTAGAGAACCCACATTGAAAGGGCTTGTGAATGTCACATCAGCTTTGCTCCCTTCTGCCTGTGTATTCTCATACCTATCACATGTAACAGGATATAAGGGTTAGAAATCATTAAACTGATATTTTCATGGTGAATGCAATGCCTATGGACAATTTCGGTGCCATAGTTCTTCACCGCTTCACAGGCGTGCGCAATTTTGAAGCTTGACCTGTTCAGCATTCTTTGAATTGACACAACCTCTTCTTTTATATCTTTGCCAAAAATTGGGTATTATATCATGTTTGTGTGCACTAAAATTAATTTGAATGCATTTTTGTACTGAAAATTTGGGTTCGATAAATAGTTGCGCTTAAAGCGTGTGGCATACAAAATACACAACTGCCGTCAATTTGGTTTCCAGGATGTCTGCTTTCAGAAAATATATAATTTTGGAGGGGCTTTTAAGTGCTTTTTCGGGGTAAAATGTGCATTTTAACACGTGAAAAAACATGGGTAAAAAAAATGCTCCGGCAGCGAAAGGGTTAAATACAGGACCCATCTGATATAGGTTTACAGTCAGAACTAATATTTCAGGTTTTGGCACCGTAACACTATGCAAAATAAAAGTAAATCAGTAATACTTACCTGTCCGATGGGTGGCGACTCCAAACTTTGCTACGGATCTCACTGGTAACCAACACTCACTGTTTCCGCTGAGAATTTTTGGACCGGCTTAATGCACAAAAGTCAATTAAAAAACAACTTTATTGAATGGGGAAGCAGAGGATGGATCTGGAGGAGTCCACACACTGGTCAAAATTTCATTTGAGTCAGCAGAACTTGGCCGAAATTCAACCAGTGTATGGCCAGCTTGAGATTCCTGTATCTTTTTCTTTGCTATGGGAACATATCCTTTAGGACTGGTTCACACCAGCCACAATGCGCTGCACTGGGCAGTAGACATGTGCGATTCGGTTCGTTCCGAAATTCGTTTTGGACGAATTTTCGGAAATTCGGAGATTCGGATGCATCCGAATTCCGAATTAAAGCTAAGACGAATGCAAAGGAATCCGAAATTCCCGATTTCGTTGCAGCAAAACGACATTAGGAAAAAAAAAAATTATAACATTTACCTTCTACAACATTTAAATGGCTAAAGTATAGAGGCTATAGTGTAGAGGTTAGAGCACAGGATTGCCATTGTCAAGGTCGCTGGTCCAGCCATGGGAGACTAATAGATAAAGATTATTTTTTTTCTTTGCTTTTGAATTGGCATTCTCCTATTGACATAAATGACTAAATGTCATTTTTTTTCCTAATGTCATTTTGCTGCAACGAAATTCGTTATTGGACGAATTCTGTTGCAGCAAAATGAATTTTTTTTTTTTACAGACTGCAGAAAATGAAAAAAAAAAAGCGTGAGGTTTCCCCCCAATTCATACCAGACCCTTTAGGTCTGGTAGGAATGTTAGGAGGGCCCCCCCCTCCTTATAACAAAAAAAAAGTGCGTGGGGTTCCCCCCAAAATCCATACCAGACCCTTAAGGTCTGGTAGGAATTTTAAAGGGGAACCCCAGCCCCAAAAATGGGGGGAAAAAAACGTGGGGTCCCCCCTAACAGTCCTACCAGACCCTTGATCCGAGCACAGGCCCGGCAGGGCAGGAAAGGGGGGGGACGATCGAGCCCCCCCCCTCCCTGCGCCTTACCAGGCCACGTGCCCTCGGCATTGGGAGGGTGTCCCCATGCCGATGGGGACAAGGGCCTCTTCCCCACAACCCTGACCCGGTGGTTGTGGGGGTCTGCGGGCAAGGGGGCTTATTTGCATCGGGGTACCCCTTTAAATAAGGGGGCACCCAGATGCCGCCCCCCCCATGTGAATGAGTAAGGGGTACTTGTACCCCTACCCATTCACTAAAGGGTTAAATCAAATAGTTAGTAAAAAGTCCAGACTTTTGACAAAATCCTTTAATTGAAAAAAAAACAAACAGTCAATTTTTGACTATTCCTTTAATAAAAAAATAAAAAATAAATGGCTCCATCGATGTAATCCAGTGTCAGGATCAGGATGCAGCACCCCCGCCGACCCGCCGAAATAAAAAAATGACTGAATTACATTCAGTTTGAAAGTCAACAGATGGGCGGAGCGAGGCACGACGTCACGGCTCGCTCCGCCCATTTGACATTCTCAGCTGTCAAATGCTACATATTGCATTCATATATATCAAATGCTTCCATGGTTAAAGTACAGAGGCTATAGTGTAGTGGTTAAAGCACAGGATTGCCATTGTGAAGTTCGCTGGTTCAAGTCCAGCCATGGGAGAGTAAAGTTTTAGTTTTTTTTTCATAAACGAATTTCAGCAGGACTACAGCTAACGAATTTCATCCGAAACTAATTTAATTTCGGACCCGAAAAACGAAACTAAACTAAGCGTATTTTTTTTTTTTCAAAACGAAACTAAACTAAACGAATTTTTTGCTGGTGCACATGTCTACTGGGCAGTGTTGCCCAATGCAGTCCCAATGCAAAGACAAGGCAAAATACATTGCTTTGTATTGGACAGGGTTGGGCAACTCCAGCCCTCCAGCTGTTGTGGAACTACAAGTCTCATGAAGCATTGCAAGACTCTGACAGCCACAGATATTAATCTCAAAGGCAGAGGAATTATGGGATTTGTAGTTAAAGCACAGCTGGAAGGCCGGAGTTGCCCACCACTGGAATAGGACCTATTTACACCAATTTACTGCATTGATATGCATTGCAATAAAATTATGTGCTTTACAATGTGCTGCAACATGTGGCAAAGTGCTGCAGTACATAGAATTTACATATAGGTTAAAAATAAAAACCCTGAGCACTGCAATGCGTTATATCAATGCATTGCAGCACACCTGCACATGTTAGCCCGAACATGTTATGTGCTATGCATTGCCATGCCGTGTGGTGTCCACTAACCCATATAAATTAGTCCCAACATTTTACTAATATGAGTTTTAATGCTATATGGGCTCATACGTGATCATGTGTATCCCTATAGACGTCAATTGTTCTGCATCCAGGGATTTAAGTCCATTCAGATATGTGGCTGTAAGCCTGCATACAGTCATTAAATTCTATGGGAGGCTGAATGCAGCACCTGCGTCTCCCTGGCTTGGGGAAAATATGCAGGTATTTACATTGTGCAGGCTCTTATTCACACTGTGTGTTTACCTGCGTTTTAGGTGTATTAAGATTAGCTGCGTTTAAAGAAAAAAATTGAATGTGGTTTGTCCATAGGCAGATTAGATACTCTAAATCAGGGGTGCCCACAATTTTTTGTGATAAGATCTACTTTTCAAATGACGAGCTACAGGAGATCTACCAATGAAAAAAAAACCTCCCACGCTCTCTCCTGGCTGTCTCTCCTCTCTCTCCTGGCTATCTCTCCTCTCTCTCCTGGCTATCTCTCCTCTCTCTCCTGGCTATCTCTCCTCTCTCTCCTGGCTATCTCTCCTCTCTCTCCTGGCTGTCTCTCCTCTCTCTCCTGGCTGCCTCCCCTCTCTCTCTCTCTCCTGGCTGTCTCTCCTTCCTCTCTCTCCTTTCCTTCTCTCCTGGCTGTCTCTCCTTACTCTCTCTCCTGTCCATCTCTCCTCTTTCTCTCTCTCCTGGCTGTCTCTCCTTATGCTCTCTCCTCTCTCTCTTTCCTATCCGTCTCTCCTCTCTCTCCTGGCTATCTCTCCTCTCTCTCCTGGCTGTTTCCCCTCTCTCTCCTGGCTGTCTCTCCTTTCTCTCCTGGCTATCTCTCCTCTCTCTCCTGGCTATCTCTCCTCTCTCTCCTGGCTGTCTTTCTGCGTTTTCTCTCCTGGCTGTCTCTGTTCACTCTCTTGGCTGTCTCTCCTCTCTCTCTTTCCTGGCTGTCTCTTGTTGCTCTCTCTCCTGTCTGTCTCTCCCCACTATCTCTCCTGGCTCACCCTGCTGTGTAAACTAATATTCTTTGATGTAATACATAGCACTTCAACCCCCAGAATCCACCAGAAAGGTGTCAGGGAGCTTGGCACAGCAGGCTCAGGCTAATAGGTAATCATGTGTGCACAGCTAAATAAATATACCAAAAAGGGGCCGCCATTCACACCCTTTGTGATCTACCAGCATCAGCTTTGAGCGCTACTGGTAGATCATGATCTACCTAATGGGCACCCCTGCTCTAAATGCATCTAAATGCATGTAAACCCAAGCACCTCAAAACGCAGAAGAAGTTGATCTGGGGAGCATGACGTTTGTTGATACATCACAGATATCTTCTCCTGCGTTTAAATAAACCAAATGTCGTAAGCTCATGCGAATGTAGCCTAAGATTTGGGGTAATATTCCTTTGACCTTTTCTGTGTGTCCTTGCAGACTGAATGTATAGAATGTAATTACAGCAGTGTAAAACATACAGTTCAGTGTTGTGATGTTAGTTTTCTGCACCCTACACATGGAAATAAATCATGCTATAGCTCTCATATGCTTTGCCACTGGTAGTGATTATGCTTCCCATTCAGACTGTCCCTAAATCATTAATATTCTTCTGCCGTCTCCTGGAAAATTGACGTTTCATACGACACTGTGCTATTCAGGAAAGGGGTGCTTTGCAAATAATGATAATAAAAGAAGAAGCCGGTGGCTTGGTCAGTCATCAGATCAGTAAATAGACATCAATCCAGCCGCGCGGGGCATTGATTTTAAATAGTATTGGTTAAAAAATAACACATTGTGTATAACATAAAAATAGACTGTACACGGAAGCCTTGGGTTTTAGAGCACACTAGAGAAAGTCTTTCCGTGAGGACGATGTATGG